GCTGGGTGGCAGCCCCCCCCAAAGAAAGCCAAAAGAATAGAACACACAATATCTCAACACCAGTGGTCTCAAATCCCCAATAAGAAACCACAGACTAGCACTATGGATAGAAAAACAGGATCTATCCAGCTGCTGCATCTAAGAATACACCTTGGCATCAAGGACAGACATCACTTCAGGGTAAAAGGATGGCTGATTTTAAGTTGAACCATAGCTTCAGTAATAAAAGCAATATACTACTGACACACAGACCGATACACAGACCAGTGGAACAGAACAGAAGATCCAGGCAAAACACAGCTATAGCTGTGACCTTTCATAAAGATGGCAAAATACTCTGGAGAAACTATAGCTGTTCTGGGAAAACGGAGTGCCCAAAGTAGAAGAAACTAGATCCTCATCTTTCACTCTGCACAAAACCCAGCTCTGAATGGATCAAAGACCCCAGCATGAGACCTGAAACTCTGGAACTGCTAGAATTGAAAACAGGAAAATCTTCAGGAATAGGCACAGGTAAGAGCTCTCTCACAGGACTCAGTGATTCAAGAAATAAGGCAACAGGTGTCAGTGAGACCTCATGAAGTTAATAAGTTTCTGCACAGCCATGGGAACAGTTGAAGGAGTAAAGGGTCTACAGAATGGAAGAAGATCTCTGCTAGCTATACATCTGATAGAGGACTAGTACCTAGAATATACAAAGAGCTCAGGAACTAAATAATAAGAAAATAACACAATCAGAAAGGTGGGCTAAGGAACTGAACGTAGTTCTCAAAAGAATAAATACAAATGGCAACAAATACTTTTAAAGTGTTTGTCCACATTCTTGGCCATCAGGGAAGCAGATCAGATAGAAGTTGTTTGAGATGCCATCTCACCCTGGTCAGACTGGCAATCATTAGGACAACAAATAATAGCAAATGTTGTTGAGGATGAGGGAGGTGGGAGCCACTGTGGGAAAGCTGAAAACAGAACTAGAGTATGCCCAGCTACACCACCCCTGGTTATAAACACATAGGACTTTACCTCTCTCTGGAGACTCCTGCATATTCCTCTTTACTGCGGCTCTATTCACAACGGCAAGGCAAGGAAGCAGCCCAGTCCAGATGGCCACTGTATGTGACATCTACACAAGACTGCCATGGCCATGAACAAAAACAGAATCATGAAAAATGGGTAGGAAGAAAACATTGCATGAAGTACCCAGGCTCAGAAGACTAACATGGCACACTCTCCGAATGTGTAAAGTCTACCTTACGGTCTTTATGCTTGTGTATTTATATGGGGGCCCAAGAAAGGCAGGAAAAGGAGACTTTAAGGAAGAAGGGCAGGACAGGTAAGAGAACACGTGATGGGAAAGGGGAAGGAGGAACACACCCATGGAAGAGAGGGCAGAGGAGCTCCCCAGGGAGAATCTACAAAGACTGTGTGTATGAATATGTCAATTCCACTACTCTAACTAGTAAACAAAATCTTTATACCATCAGCATAGCTAAACTGGAAAGACTGACCTGGCAGACGCTGATGAGTAAGCAAAGCCACTGTAACTCCTATAGGTGTAGAATGCTGCAGCCACTCTGCAGCTGCTCAGCAGCTCCCTATAAAACAGCCTGCAACCCCCAAGACCCAGCTAGCTGCCAGCTTCCTCGGCAGTTTACCAAGAGATGAATAAACTTGTCCACAGAGAGATTTGCTTAAAATGTTCATTGTCACCTTATTTACACAAACTCCAAATTGGAATGAGCCCTAGTACATACCAGCAAGGACACGGGTGAGTTCTAGGGGCTCAGCGGAACCATTCAACAGTGAGAAAGAGGAGTGACGCACTAACCAAGAGCAGCCATGAGAGATGTGGTGGGAACCAGGGAAGCCAGAGTCCAAACTGTGACTCCACACACCCATTCACTCTGACAGAAATGAAAGGCTTGACTCAGAGGGACATGCAGACCGCCTGGGTTGGCTTGGGGAACACCCTAGCATGGTGGGACAGCTCTCCACCTTGGCTGGCACAGGCTTCGTGAATGCAGACACTTGTCAAAACTCATTCCATTGCATCCTCGAGAGACTTATGCTTTTTGTTATAATAAAAGCTCCAGCGGTATTTTGTCTTCTTTGGTAGAAATTCACAAGTCAATTCATAATTATATGTGGAGATAGCTAAAGACCTAGAATATTCAGGCAGGCTTGAAGAGCACAACAGGACAGCCATGTTCCCAGACATGAGGCTCCCAGAGCTGTGCAGTCCAGAAACAAACCACTTGTCTGTGGTCACCTAATTTTTGACAAAGAGGATGCAGTTCCAGGGCAGGGAAGGGAAACAGGGAAGCAGTGCTAGGTCACCTGGAGGTAGGTGTGTGTGTGTGTGTATGTATATGTATATGTGTATGAATATGAATGAAAAAGTTCAACTGGAGGCTGGGTGAGTAAATAAACTTCTTACCAAGTACAAGCACATAGTTCCATCCCCAACAACCACAGGAAAACTGCAACCATTGCCCCTCACATATGCACCTCCACACATGCAAACATGCACACTCACATGCATATATGCAACACATACATGCACCTCCACACATGCAAACAAGCACTCCTGCGTGCCTATGTACAACACACATGTAGCACCACACACTCAACCGCAGGCACATACACCACACATAAACATACATTAATAACCTTGACCTCTACTTCAGTTCACATCATACACAGACATCCATTCTCCATGGGCCATGCACTTAAATGTGAAAGCCAAGGCTAAAGACAGGAAACCCAGGGACAGTACTTCAAAGGCAGAAGTGACTGTCTCCTTACACTTTCCAAACAGGACCCGAGGTATAATCTATAGGGTGGGTGACACTTGTCAGCTGTGGAGGGGTTGATGACAGCACACACACTTGAGGCAAGGGGCCTGATAGCAAATGCTGTATGCCACCCACCTACTCATCACATTCCAAAGCCACAAGTCAAGTGTCTGGATGTCACTCTTACGGTGGGGCCAAGGACTTGCCTACCTGGGTGTGTTGACTTGGTGAGATGGTAGTTACAATTTATAACGTGATGTAGTTATAATTTATGAACTTTTCTGAAAAAATATTCTATGTCACCAGGTATAAAGCTTACTTTTAAAAAGGGGTGGCTGGTAAATGCTCACCCAGGGAAGTAACTGTGGTGAGCGCTCACCTGACATTTTTGACATTTTCAAGGCCCTGGGTCCCATCCCAGCACTGCAAAGAACATTTAAAATACCACAAAACCAACACCCCACTTTCCTTCTCAGAACTGACCCCTTTGCAGTTTTCCACAGCTCAAGAGACATCAGGGCTAGCTCTTCAGAACAAAACCCAGCAAAGCTGCATCCTACTTCCTTTCCCTCACACCACACAGGAACCCCCAGAGGCCTGTGGGTTCCCCCACCTCCTCCCCGGTTTGAGCCTGTCTCCTTCCCCTCGGTCTTTTCTCCACTCAGCTGCTGTAGTGGGTTTTGCAACAGAACACCCCCAACCCGGGTGGGATGAATACCCAAGCCCATTTCCCAGCCTTGCCCAGAACCTTCTCCCGTTCCTCAGCTGTGCTCAACAGGCTCCTGCATCATGGACTTCACACCTGTGACCCTTTAAGCTCAGGGCCTTGGGGCTTTCCCAGGCAGGCCCTGCAGGCTTCTGCTCTATACCACCTTAGAGGCTCCCTCCTCTAACCCTCCTTTTAAAGAGCACCCTTTGAGTGTGAATCTTCACTCCAGTCTAACTTTTCTTCCCCAAAGAAACTGCACTGCAAAACAGTAATCAATAACCTGACATCTGCAACTGGCACTTCAACCACACTCCAGGGCAGGCCCCATGCTAAGGGACACTAGGCTAACACAAATCAGACCCGGGCTCTTTTGTTTTTAAGGGAGAGAAAGAATGTGGAAGTCAGGTGGGTAGGGAGATGAGGGGGGAGTTGAGGAAGGAAGAGAAGGTAATCATAGCACATGAAATTCTCAAGAACAGAACATTTAAAAACTAAAATGCAATGAAAAAATATTTTGCCATCTGAAACCCATTAAAATGGTGTCTTAGGTTTCTATTGCGGTGACAAACACCATGCCCACCAACAAACTGGGGAGGAATAGGTTGATTTAAGCTTACCGTTCCACACCACAGTCCATGACTGAAGGAAGTCAGGGCAGGAACCTGGAGCGGAGCTGAAGCAGAGGCCAGGGAGGAGCATGGCTTACCATAGCTTTCTCAGCCTGTTTTCTCGTACAACCCAGGACCCACAGGGGGCTGGGCCTGCCCACATCAATCATTAATCAAGAAAATGCCCCACAGGTTTGTTTATGGGTCAGCCTTATGGAGGCATAGTTTTTCAACGGAGGCTCCCTCTTCTCAAAAGACTGCCTGTGTCAAGATTGACAGACACCAGCCAGCACAATGCACACTGCTGTTCTGTTTCCATCCCTTCCCCACCACAGAGGGCAGGGTGGGATTGCTAAATATGAAGATGACCCAAGACCCTCACAAACAAAGTCGGGAGGCTTCAAAGGAAAGGGTGAAAAAGAAGATACATTATATCCACCAAGAGATAGTTTGACTATCAAAAGGGATGGCCTAAGAATTTACTAACATTTACCAGGGTGTTATGTAACAGTTTCCTCTAAGATTGAAACACTACGGAAGATACGAAGATACAATTCAGAACGGCTTCAGGAAGTCTCTGAAACTGACAGTATTTACTAGGTCCTTCCCTGCCCGAGTAAACATGCAAACTGCCCAGAGTCACTATCAGGCCAGCCAAGCTGTAAGGCAACCAAATCAGCTCCAGGGAAGAAGCAGAGACCAGCAGAGCTGCCGAGAAAAGGGTTAGACTACTGCACCTGGGCCGCGCACTCTGCAACCTGCTGAGCTGCCCATAGACTGTGCAGTGTGCTCCAGATTCCGCGCACTCTGCAACCTGCTGAGCTGCCTGTAGACTGTGCAGTGTGCTCCAGATTCCCAGCTTTGTGAGTTGTCACCCATGCAATGCAGGGGTGGGCTTGGTGATGCAGTGTGCTGAGTCACTTCTCTTCCTGTAAATCATCCCTCACCCATGTTCCTGTAAGTGATCCCAGTAAAACTCAGGGTTCACTAGGTTGGACTTTGGTTTGTCATGGGCTTCCTATCTGGGGTGAGTAGACGTGTGTGTTGCATATCCCCAGGAAAAGTCTTGTCACACAACACAAGGTCACTGTAAAATGCTGGTGGCAACGCAACAATGTCACAGCTGCTCAGAGATGTGAACGAGGTCTATGTGGAGGGCAGAGAGGTGTCACTGACATGTGCCAAATCTCATGAGCTCACATTTCTATGGTCGGCTCTCCACCCTCCACTGTTCCGCTCCATCTCTCAGGGCTGAATTTCAGGCTCTACAGTTACCCAAATTCCTCATAGCAGGTCTCAGGATACATCCTTTTTCGGGGGGGGGGGGCAAATTTAAAACAAACTTTAATTATAAAGTTTAAATACTGTCCCAGAGGAATTTGATCAGGACCACTCCCTAGACCTTTCCAGCTGAGTGACTCAGGCTAGATTCTTGAATGGTTCGCACCTAAAAATTGATGTGGGAAAAAAAAAACAACAACCAATATTGCCAAGGATAGACAGATTTCATGAGTAGAAATTCTTCCAGGTGTTTTCTTGAAAAAACACTGGTCTACATTCTAGAGACAGTCAATCATTTTCAAAGATGTTCTGTAGTTCCTGCAGAGTGGCAAACACAGAGGGGAGAGGGAGGAAGGAAGGGAGGGGTGTGTGTGTGTGTGTGTGTGTGTGTGTGTGAGTAGTAGTAGTAGTAGTAGTAGTAGTCTCTTCTCTGCCTCTGGTCCTGCGGGGTTTGTAAGCGCCCACTTTCACATGTAGTTCATTCTGTTTGAAATACAGCAGCCTGTTCCCATGGCTGGATCTGATTTAGAAGTGCCTATCAAGTATTCTGAGCAAGGTAAGTGTCTAAATGGAGGCAAAAACCACAGTGGCCTTAGAGAGATAACAGAGTCCTTTGGGAAGGGCTAGGTGCAGGGTGACAGGGCAGATGTAGAGTAAGGAAGACACCATGCAAAGGAAGGGTAATGACAGTGACCCTGTGTGGGTTAGGGAAGCATCCACCCAAGGTGGGGACAATGACAATGGGCCCATGTTACAAAGCAAGATTGATCCTACACAGAGGTATACTAAGGATCATGGGAATTAGGCTTCATGCCCAGGGAGGTAGAGTTAAACAAGGAAAGTTGGAATCAACCTATACAGGCCTGGGTGGGAAGGAATCAGAGGTCCTGATGTAAATTCATTTAATCACTAAATGGATCAATGCAGGGATGACTGGGAGAGCCTGGCAGCAGTAACAACACGGGAGCAATGAAAGCACGCACACTCCCCAGAGCCCGGGTACCAAGGACCGCTCAGTACTCATAGGAAGCAGGGCTCCCTGGGAAGATGCTAAGAAGAGTCAGAATGTGTGGCCTATCAGAATACAAGAAAGTGATCAGAGATTCACCCAGCCTTGCAAAGGACTCCCTAACTGCTTCAAGAAGTTCCTATGGGATTCGAGTTATTAAAAATAATGCTAGTGGACTGGTAAGATGGCTCAGCAGGTAAAAATGTGCCTACCACTGAGCCTGATGACCTGAGTCCAATTCCCAGGACCCACACAGGAGAGACCTGACCACTGTAAGCTGCCTTCTGATCTCCACATGTACAATGTGGCATGAGCATGTTCACACCACACACACACACACACACACACACACACACACACACACGCACACACACACACACTGAAATGTGATTTTTTAAGAAGCATGCTAGGTACAAGTTATAACCCACTGAATAAAATAAGAAGCTGAGTCTGCACACATGTACATACACAAACGGATAAACCCCAGGTCTGACAGGCAGCAGGATGGCATCCATATGGAAAAGTGGCTCCAGAACTTAAAAAAAAAAAGTCTTCCATGTCACTTCTCTGATGCTCATGGAATTTTCTGGAGCATGGGAGTCTACAGCTCTTTAAGCATCCATGTCTCCTTAAAACATTTCTCTGCCACTTGGCCCAACTCCCCCCCCCACACCCTGCTCCTACTCTACTGCCTGCACTCCTGCTAATTACCATTCACAACTGAAGTGAATGAAGCCTTACTGAGTTTCCTGTCAGTTTTTACACCCTTAAACCTGTTTCCTGTTTTGTGCTGAGGCATAGTGCAGCTATGGACTGCGCCTCTCCAGGCTTGTTTTCCAGCTGTTTTGTGAGACCAGGGTAGTCCTCAGTGCAGACATTCTCTAGCCTTCCACGGGTGGCCTCTCTGGGGCTTCACCCTGGCTGCTGCTTCCTCTCTTATTCCCAGACCCCTTCTATTTATACTCTCTGCCTGCCAGCCCCACCTATCCTTGCTCCTGCCTTGCTATTGGCAGTTCAGCTCTTTATTAGACCATCAGTGTTTTAGACAGGCAAAGAATCACAGCTTCACAGAGTTACACAAATTCAGCATAAACAAAAATCACACACCTTAAAGTAATATTCTACCACAACTCAGTGGTTAAGTGCATGCACAAATACCCTTACACATAGACAATAAAATAAATCTTGGGGGGAATTATTTATGTACTTGGCATTTGCCCACTCAACTCTCAGATGCATGCTCTAAAGAACTGCCTGTATGCCTGAGGAGACTGCTGTATCCTGTTAGCACCACACAGCAAAGTCAACTGAAGGGCTGTTGAGATGACTCAGTAAGGAAGTCCCGGGTCCCACACAGTGGAAGGAAAAGAGCTGATGCTCACAAGCCGTCCTCTGATCCCTCCATGCACCCTGTGGCACTCACACGCATGAGCACATGCACCTTCACACACACATACATACATACATACATACACACTCAATAAATAAATGTACCTTTTAAAAAATGCCTTATTGCTAATAAACGTTCATGTTTCTATCATGATAGTAACTTTTTGGGCTTTATTTTTGCTATGGCTCAAAGTCATGAACCTATTCAAATTTCTTGTATGACTGTTTTTCTACTGATTTCAGTGCAGATTACAGACAGCGCCCATGCCAATATATTTAAAACTCTTATCTCTTTTCTTTCTTTGAGACAGGGACTATCTTCTGTAGTCCTGACTGTCCTGAAGCTTGCTATGTAGACCAGGCTAGTCTCGAACTCAAAGAGTTCTACTTACAACTGCCCCAGTCCACCAAATTCTGGGATTAAAAGCATGCACCATCATGCCTGGAAAACTTTTCTCTTTTTATCAATTTTAAAGGATTCGCCGGGCGTTGGTGGCACATGCCTTTAATCCCAGCACTTGGAAGGCAGAGGCAGGCAGATCTCTGTGAGTTCGAGGCCAGTCTGGTCTATAAGAGCTAGTTCCAGGACAGCCTCCAAAGCCACAGAGAAACCCTGTCTCGAAAAACCAAAAAAAAAAAAAAAAAAAAAAAAAAGAGGATTCCTGAAAGCTTTTAGAGAGTTGCAACTTGGATCCATCTGTCACAAGTCAAAGGGACCCCTTCCTCTCCCTACTATTGGGTGTATGTTCTTTTTGTCTTCTAGATGTCTCAGGCAGAGAGACAGACCTGCAAGTAGCAAGTAAAGACCCTCGCCCAGCCCCTGAAGCTTTTTTTTTTACTTAGGTTTATTCATAATCATAAACTTAACTCTGCAATCCAGCTAGACTTGAGAGGAATAAGGAAAATATGGAACCCAAAGAATTTCAGTGAGAGCAGAGATTACGGGGCATTACAAGCAGATGGGGTGGAGGCGGGATGCTCTCCTGAGCTACAGAGGGAATGGTCTGGTGGGTAATAGGCCCGCGAATCAGAAGAATTAGAGTTGCCCAGTCGGAAACGGTGATCTTCTTGCTGGTCTTGCCGTTCCTGGACCCGAAACACTCCATGGCCTCCACAATGCTCATGCCTCTTTCACCTTCCCGATGACCCCGTGCTTGCCATCCAGCCACTCAGTCTTGGCGGTGCAGATAAAAAACTGGGAACCATTTGTGTTTGGTCCAGCATTTGCCATGGACAAGATGCCAGGACCTGTGTGCTTCAGGATGAAGTTCTCATCCTCAAACTTCTCTCCGTAGATGGACCTGCCGCCAGTGCCATTATGGTGTGTGAAGTCACCACCCTGGCACATGAATCCTGGGATAATTCTGTGAAAGGAGGAACCCTTATATCCAAATCCTTTCTCTCCAGTGCTCAGAGTGCAAAAGTTTTCTGCTGTCTTCGGAACTTTGTCTGCAAATAGCTCGAAGGAGACGCCGCCCAAGGGCTCGCCATTGGCCGCGATGTCGAAGAACACGATGGGATTGACCATGGCTGCAAGGAGAGGCGACAGGGGACAGCAGGGTCTGCAAAGCCCCCTGGAGCTTCTTAATGCTATCTTCTGCCCTAGTCTATATCTGTCCCAGCAGATTTTCACTCAGCAGGCAGACACCATCCTGGAATCAGCTGCAGCCCTGCAACTGCTCCAAAGCAGGCTCATCTTGTTATGCCCAGACAGTCCTGCAGAACTGTGAACTCTGTCTGCACTTGCCAGTGTGAGCCAGTCTAGCCAAGTGAAAACTATGTCTCCAGAGGCTGACTCCAAGATTCTCCCGTGGTCTCCTTTGGAACCCTCTCCTCAGCGCATTGGTCTCTACCCTTCTCATAATATGACAGCACCATCTCTTCACGTTCTTCCAGATGACATTACCTGACAGTCAGTAAACCAGACGCTTCTGATGGAATTTCTTCAGAGTTCTTACTATTGCCTGCTGGCCTGAGCCTCTGTTTTGCACCAGCAATTTAAACTCCCCTACTTTCAAGCCCCCAACCAGTAAGAGGGCTCATCTCCCCTTATCATGAACAAAAGGTTGGAATTTTTGGTCCAACACCTTCCGCTAAATGGCAGCACTGGTGACATTGTCCTAAACAGAAACAAGGACTTTTGGCTAGGGAAACAGAAGAATGGTTAAGTGGATGAACAAGCATAAGGAAAGCTTCCGTTCACCAGAAAAGCAGATCTCCTAGGGTGCACCCCCACTTATGGCCTTGGCAGTCTGATACCCAGTAAACCTTTCTTTCTATCCACTGAGCAGTCTAGTTTAGTAGTTTATCTGAACTTAGAGTTAGTTATTCAATGCCAAATGGCCAGCGCTGAAACATATACATATATACATACAGGATGATGGGGGAAGTCCTGCTGTGTATATGTAAATAAAGCACTGTTGGCTAATAGGGAAGCAAGATAGGTGGGACTAGGAGTCTAGGAGTATTCTGGGAAATGGAGTGAAGAGAGTCGTCACCATGTAATCCCTAGAGGAGAGAATGCAAATGTGGCGTTCTCAGAAAGATAAATCCTTATAAAATATATATATTAGTAATTATGGGTTAACAATTTAAGTCAGAGCTAGCCAGTTAGAAACCATAGCAAACAGCCAACAGCTTCATAATTAATATAATGTCTCGTGTGTTATTTGGGGGCTGAAGCAGCAATGGGACCCAGGCGGCTGGCGGGAAGAATACACATTACATACAGGTGCCACTATACAGACTTAGCAAGTTGTGTTTATGTATTTAGGGATATGTGTGTGTGTGTGTATAATGTATACATACACACACATACATATATAATGTATACACACACGTATACATATATAGCTATAGAATGATTAATTAAAAAGAGGACATGAATTTGAAAGTGAGCAAAGGGGCATATACAAGGGTTTGGAGGGCAGAAAGGGAAGGGGGAGATTATGTAACTATGTTATAATCTCAAAAATAAATAATTAAAGAAAGTAATAGTAAAACTAGAGACTCTGTGTCAGACAAAACAAACAAACATGTCGTTTTAATTTATGGTCAAGGCAGGACCTAGGAAATTATTTAAACGGAGTGTGTGCACCTAGAAATGGAGAGGCCAGGCCAATGGATAAGTGCATGCATACCTCTGGCGGTTGTCTTGGCTTCCCGCAGGCATAGCAGGGAGTCTGTACTTCACAGTGATGTGCCAATGCCCATATCCCTGCAGCATCTTCAATGTTTACAAACTTTTTGGACCCCTGATAAGCTGTTAAGTAAGAATTGGCTGCACAGTACAGCATATATATGATGGTTTTAATTTGGGAGTTACTAAGGAATGAGGCCATCTACCTTCTCTGAGTGCATAGTGTAACTTAACACATATATACCATGTCAGCACCACCGACGGGATGCTGAACACTATAGCCATTGCATGCAGCATCCTTGAGTATCAATCTGCCTTACTCCTGTCGTCCCCAGGTCCCCATCAAGCAGTGACTACTGAGACTACTTTTTCCTCCAGGTGTCATGATGGGAATTTTGTGACATCTGCATGGACAGTTTGTGTCTTCTTACTGCTTACAAATGCATCTTTTCTATGTTCATATGCCACTTGGCTTTCTTTTCCTATAAACAGAGCATTCAAATGTCTCCTTAGTCATTTACTAGGTTCCTGCCCCCACCCTCCACCCCCCTGTACATATATGTGTGGGGCTTGTGGGAGGGTTGTCTGTGCCATGACCTGTGTAAAGGGCAGAGAGAAACCTTCAGGTGTGTCCTAGGGATTGTACTCAGATTGTCATGTCTGTTTGGCAACCTTGTCTGTTCTGAGCACTCCTGTTATTATAAAAGACTAGCCCCTCTGTTAGTAAGTTACTAGGAAATAAATTTCCTAGTTATCCATGTGAAGTATTTTGGTGATTTAAATTTTTTTACATAATCACATTTATTAATGTCTTCTTTTCTCCCCTTCCTCTCTCTGCTTTGCTTTCAATTTTTGAGACAAGGGCTCACTACAAAGCCCAGGCTAGGTGAGAACTCTGTATAACTCAATCTTACCTCAAATTTGCTATCCTCCTATGGTGGTTTGAATGAGATTGGTACCCACTGGCTCTTATGTTTGCATTCTTACTCCCTAGCTGATAAACTGTTTGGGAAGGACTGGGAAGTTTGGCCTTGTTGGAAAAAGTCTATCAACAGGGGTGAGCTTTGGGGTTTCAAAGCCCACACCAGGCCCAATCTCAATCTCTCTCTCTCCCTCCCTCCCTTCCCCCCTTCTCTCTCCCACTCCCTCTCTGCCTGTTGCCTTTTGTTGCGGGATATCTAATCATACTGTGAACTCTGAGGTTGCATTATTTGTTGAAAAAACCTGTTTCTAGTTGTGGTGTGGCTCAGCCCTAGTATACACCTTTAATCCAAGAGCTTTCTGCTTGGATACTGTAAAAAGGATTAAATAAAGTCGACCACAGGTTAAGAGGTGAAGCAAGCAACCAGTTGACAGGAAAAAAATGTTAAGAGGGTAAGAGGGAATCAGGAGGATGGAGAGCGAGACTCACAGGAAGTAGGACGGAGGGACATTCAATTTGAGGAGTTTTGTTTGAGACAGTGTAGGAGAACAATTTCTGGGTCATTGGTCAAGAGGAAGGTCAGCTGGGTGCTTTCTCTGCCTCCCTGAGCTAGCAGGCTTTCACCCCAACATCTGACTCCCAGTCTTTATTGGTAAAACTGAATGATTGAGATTTAGATAAAAACAGCAGCCTTTGGATAGGATGTAGTTCTCAGCTACTGCTCCAGCATCTGCCTGTTGACAGTGAACTAACCCTCTACAAGTGTAAGCAAGTCCCTACTTAAATGCCTTGAGTTGCCTTGGTCATGGTGTTTCTTAGGTAAGACACCCCCTGACTCTGTTTCCCAAATTCTGGGAATACGGGTGTGTGTCACCACACTCAGCTCTCAGTATGTCGAACCAAATGAAGTTAGAAAAGCTTTTGATTCTGACCTGGTGGGTTTTTTTTATATGACTCTAAGCACATGATTGGAAGAAGATAAATGAGGTGGCATTAAACCACCAGCTTCTACACAGAGAGACAGGCAGTAGAGAGAAGAGATTTATCATCTCCCTACCTGATGGGAGACAACACCTGCGTTAACACATTTGATAAGAGGTTCATATAGAGAACATAAAACAGAGTCAAACAGCTCAGTCAGAAGTCATCAAAGGACCTGGACAGACATCTGAAAAGAGGCAGACAGACAGGGGTCCAGCAGCCACATGAAAGAACACTCAGCAGCATCCACTGCCAGGAAAAGGAAGCTTCACTCTGACACTCGGCACACTTGCTCACACAGCCAGTGGGACCAGACGGAGGAAATGGAGCTGTCCTGCTGTACAGGAAGTGATGAAGACAGAACTACTCTATGACCTATCCCAACCAAAGAAAAGGGAATCTTTATGCTGGCACGCACTATGGACAATGGACAAGACACCAAATCAAGTTAACTGTCCGTCAACCAATGAATGGATTAAGTCAATATACTTCATGATGTACAATATGTGCAGTCTCTAAAAAGAAAAGATTTTTGTTATCCACAATGACACATGTAAGTCTGTAGTTACACTGATGAGTAAAACAAGCTCAGGAGAGAGACAAATATAGACCTTCTTCCTTTTCCTGGGGGAGGGGTACCACACCAAGGACTCGAATATCAAGACAGTTTGACTCTGATGAATATGCAGGATAAAGAGATGAGTCATGTCCTTGGTGCAGAATCTCATTACATTACACAGAACAGCATTCAATACAAAACTTAGCAATTATTTACTTGTGGAATTTTCCATTTAATATTTGGACTTTGAGCCAAGCAGTGGGGGTGCACACCTTTAATCCCGGTGCTCTGGAGACAGAGGCAGGTGGATCTCTGTGAGTTTGAGGCCAGCCTGCTCTACAGAGTGAGTTCCAGGACAGTTAGAGTTGCATAATGAGATCCTGTTTGAAAGAGAAAAAAAAAAGAAACAAAACTAAAGGACTTTGCTGACCCCAGGCAAGTGAAACCATACAAGGTGGAAGCTCAAAGGTCAGCTGAGGTGGCCACCCTGCCGGACCTCATTTACACATGAGATCTAAAATATTATGGCCATCCACACCAATTTACAGTCTGCTAACAAGCTCAGGTATGATGGCTATTTTGGGTTGTTTGTTTGACTACATCTGGAATTAGCTGAAAATTCAAAACACTGGATTACTTGAAGGGATTTTTTTAATTTTTTGTTTTTAGTTAAGTGGTCCATCTGACATAGGAAAACCTACCTTAAATCCAGATCATGTGAGGAGGGAAGACCCATCCTAAAACTGAGCCACAGCTTCTGGTGGAAGCCTATATGAAGGAGATGGGACAAGGAAGCACTTGTTCTTTGCTTGATTACCCTCGCTTAATGCTAGTAAGTTCATCCCCTCACTAGCATCAGACCCTTCGTCTTCAGGACTCTGACATACACTAAAGGCCAGCTGAGACATCTAGCCTCATGGATTCTTG